TCGGATTTTGGAGTTTTCATTGCAATTGTTGTGATGACGGCAATTTCAAAATTTACTGGACTTGATCTACCTGTGCTTAATATTCCAGCCAGTTTCAGGGTTTGTTAATTGTACTTTATTCGATCAACGCATTTGCTCAATAAATAAGACAGAAACAATGAGATGGTGCTGTGTGTTTATTTAGTTGTTCATTAGGATTTTGTAATAAGCAGTGACGTGAACGGAGCCCTTCCTCGGAAATTGTTTTGGACCGGAAAGGAACCAAACCACTCCTCTTTGCATCTGGAACACAACGTGTTACCATTACAGCCAACAATTGATCGCCCATGGCTTATCAATCCATTATCAGTGCAGTGGTATGTGGCAGTGGTTGCTGCACTTCCAGCTGTATTCTATACAATACTAATTGTGATGGATCAGCAAATTACGGCTGTTATCATTAATCGCAAGGATAACAAACTTAGGGTCTGCTATTAATATTTGACCTAAAAGATCAATTAATGACAGAGCCTGAATTTTTTTTATAAGGAGACGGGTATTTCGGCAGAAAGCCAATTGACAAAAATTTTTTCGTCTGCTGATCCTTCGGTTCTTTAATAATTTGGTAGCCGGGTTGCTCGCGGTCATCTGTGGCAGCGTATGATCGCCAGCAAGCTGGCCACCAAAGCAAATGGAAAAGTTGCGTGCTGTGTAGCTGAACAATTTTGCTACGAAGTATCGGGATAAAGTAAGCAGTCGGAAATTTTTTAGAGTGTAACTGCTGTTGGCAATTTCTTATCATTCAAGTTTTATTATCATTTTGACGAAAAAACTCATCTTGCAGCAGTGATAAAAAAGGAGTGATTTTTTGGGATAACAATTAGCAGAGGCACTGAGGAATGAGTCAAGCTTAAATAAGTGTAAACAGGAAGTGGGGGATGATCAAGAGATTTGTAAAAATATATATAATAGTAGGAAAGGGAAAATAACTGAAAAGGAAAATTTCAATCCATTAAGTGGTGCACATTCCTTTTCAAAACCTGACGGAAATATACTTATCGCCTTCAATTCCGGATAATAAAGGATATGCAAAAATTTTAGAAAGGTTACGGTTATCATTTGGATTTGCTAGTGATCGCGCTGCTTGTGGTCATATGTGGTAGCCTGGGATTACCATTTTATGTGGCCGCAACTGTGTTATCAGTAATGCATGTTGATTCACTTCGTCTTCAATCGGAAACATCAGCACCCGGTGAAAAGGCGCAGTTTCTCGGCGTCAAGTAAGACTAATTTTCAGTCAAATGTCTGTTTCTTTGTCTGAATTTACTGAAACCAATCATCGTCACCTGGGGAATTCCTAGTTATGGCCATCTACGGGTGAAATGAAATTTTGAAATAATCGTAAAATAATCGATTGATTATGAAAAACCGATAGATTATGAGAAGGGCACATGCATACATACGCACGCAGACACAGACACACGCATGCACAAAAGCACACACTCACACAGCCTTTCGCCAGTATGCGTCTTTGTATTTGCATATATGCAAAAATGTACAAAAACTTGTATTTGCCAAAATCGAGTTCTACAAAATTTGCATAATTTGCAGAGAGCAGCGCTTGACTGCAATAATAGCTCATCTTCTCATTGGTTTCTCCGTGTTTCTAACGCCGCTCATCAAGGTTTACAATTGTTTTTTATGGTTTTTCTTCACATATGCGCTTAAAAACAGTGCAATTGGAGCTACTCTCGTGTTGAAAGTTTGGAATAGTTGCAAATAGCGCTGATCCCCATACGGAATTTCATAGTTCGTTTTCGTCGGTGAAAAATTAATCGCTGTGAGAATTTTTACTTCGTTTCAATTGGTGGCACATCCCAGAAAATCAGAATCTCCTTCATGATACTCTTAAACGTATTCAGGGGTGCAAGCGAAAGGGTTGCAGATGTTCCTCGGAAAAGGAAAATCCTTTGCCATCAGATATTAAATCAATTAACTTAATCAAAATTTTTCTGGATGAGGAAAACGACCCTTTGTGTCCTTTTTTGGAGGGAGACTTCTGGATGTTACAGATATATCGGAAAAGATTCACACCACAGTTATATTCTCTGTGAGATGGATTAATTCTGTTTCGGGTTAATTCTGTTTCAGTTAGTGCCTTTGCCAGTGCTTATTGGAATATTTTTGTATATGGGTGTAGTATCTATGCTTGGACTGCAATTCGTGCAGAGGATTTCCATGCTCTTTATGCCCATTAAACACCAAGTACTTTTTCTCGATTAACAGCAAATTTTCGTCTTTTTAAAACTGAAACTTTCATTCTGATTTAGAATTTTATTACTAGCAGCTACTTTTATTGTTAATATTATTACTATTATTACCGTTAATATTAATTTTTTCGTGCAGACAGAGGACAAAAACCTGTATGATCTTTTTCTCCATTGCTTTCTTCGTTATCGCTAACGTTTGCTCTTTTGCTTTCATCAGTGAGTATGTTTCGCATCTCTGCGTTATCGAGGTAGTGGTACATTTCCAGAGTCCGATCTTTTTTTTTTTTTGAAAAAAATGTTTTTAATTTTTTGCAGCCTGATTATGTATGGCTTCGATTAGTTCGTATGAAGCGTGTGCACTTCTTTACATTCATTCAAATTCTCAGTATTGTG